CTGATTGATACTGCAAAGCATCTTTTATTTAGAGCCTCTGCAGTAGACCATCGAGAAAAGCTGCAAAACACAAAGGAGGTAATATTTGATTAGCATATTCGGGTCCAAAGGAAAAAAAACAGAATGCAAACTACAGCCGCAGGCTTTGGCTCCGGACCACGCGCAAAGGCAGCCCAGTTCGCCATCACAGCACGCAGGTCAGCTTCAGTGGTGAGCGCTGACATCCAGGTGACTGAGAGCCTGAATTTATCCGAGGCTGCCAAATGCCCCCCAACCCCGAGAAGCAGCCAGATGCTGCCCAGGAAGAGCTTCGCACTGGCTCTGCCCCTGGACATGTTGGCACAGTTTCTGCTCCAGGACGAGGTCGGGGTCTGGCTGGGCACCGAGAGTTGCCCATGCTCTGACTGCAGGCGCCATTCAGGTGCGGGTGGACGAGGGCAGGCCGTGCCCCCCAACCCAGAGTCAGCCAGGTCCAGGCTTCTGCTTCTGGGTCTCTGGGGCTTCTCCCAGTCCTAATGCCTTCCCATCATGAAGATCCGCAGGAAACCAGAAGCTCATGCAAGGGGCAGTGAAATAATCAGGGAGAGACTATGAAAAAAAAAAAAAGAGAGAGAGAAAACAACTTGGAAGGTGTCTGCAAAGATGATGAGAACAAGGACTAAACTCATGTGCTTTCAGGAGAGGTGGCCTATACACAGCACCTTCTCTGAGTTTCTTTTTGACAGGCAGAAAAAGTGAGCGTCTCTTATTCTACCTTTGATGCCGCATGTCACTGCAAGTGCTGAAACCCCTGGAACATCCTCTACTTGAAAGCTCACTAAATCACCTCCCCTGAGCCTTAGAAAAAAGAACACCCACACGGTTTTGTACGAAAGACTGTTATTTGAGAGCAGAGCTATAGAACGTTCATCGTGGAATGTGAAGTCCTCTCTCATTGCCACAATCCTTGAAACTGTATTGTAAAGAAATTTTTCAAATAGATCAGCCAAGTGTGGAGCCCTAAAAACGAGGGGACTGCTGGAGCTCTCAGCACTCATTTTACCTGAGGGCACCCAGCTTGCTGCTTCCTGGCAAAAGACACACCTGCTTTGGTGAGTAAAGTTGCAGGACCAGGGGAAACCGCTGGCGCATACTGTGCATGAACACAAGTTCAGGAAAGAAATTTGTCTCACTGGGAGTGACGTTTTTCCAAGCATTACAAACCAAAGCGAGGGGATCAGGATGAAAAATCACCTGTGGGATGGAGTATAAACGATTTGGGTGATGGGTACGCTTAAAGCCCAGACTTCACCGCTACACACTATATATGTGTAGCAGAATTCAACTTGTACCCCCTAAATTTATTAACATTA